TATGCTCGTGCAAAAACTCCAAAAATGAAATCAGCCTGAAGACTGGAGACTTTGAGGAAGCTGAAGAAATCTTGCCTTCGAAATTTTACCTCTAAGAGATGCTGTTCAGACAAACATGTTTTGGCTTGTCTCTGAGCACACATGATCTTATCTATGTAAAACTGTGAGAGGTCACAATTCAACAGTGTGTAATTGTAATATCATGTCTGGTTAAATAATACCTACAAACTTTGTTGAAAGGTTTAACATTTTTCTCCCAGGTCTCATATTTTCTTCTAGTCTTTACCATAACAAACACACTACAGTGAGTTACAGCTGATGTAACAGGAAACAATGTCATAGCTTAACAATAGACTTCCCTGAAGTCGTATCAGGTCAAGTTGCCGTGCTAAGTTTCCAGATGACTGCTTGTAGGTTATTTATTGCACCTATTTAAAATTTGCTACCTTTTCCCCAGATAACCCCACAATACATCTACCAACCTGATAACCCTTTGACTGATAATAAATTTATGCTCCTTTCCACAGCTTGACTTGTTTCATGTATAAAGGGAGAAAAAAGGACAACCCTCTCTGGTGGATCTTTTAACAAGTAACTGATCCTGCTACCACAGAGTGACCAAAAAACAGCTGAGTTTAAGTTGAGGACGCTTGTATATTTCTTCATAAGTACACCAGTCGCTTAAAGTGTTACATCAGTTACTCTGAAATACATATGATGACACATTTCATGGTAGACGTCTTATCGTGGAAACTTGAGCAATACTCAGGCTTTGCTTGGAGCGTTCATAAAAGGTCTGTCAGACCTATTAGATCTCAAGCTTTTGAACTTGCTATGCATGTTTGTTTAAAAATACTGGTAAGCTTATCTTATGTTTGCTTGTCTTGTCAAATCTTCTTTGTCATGTGACTTCAGGAAAAACAAGGCCTTATCACACTTCAGATAGCTTTCACAGACAGGTATGTAGGAATGTCAGAATGTTTGGACGTTTTTTCAGGTACCTGCCATAAGAAAACTGATTTAGAGATGTGAGACTTTGCAAAATCTGAAAGACCTCATGGGAGTTTTTTTAAACCAGATAATACATGTTTTACCTGTGACACTAATCAATGTTTAAACTAATGATCTTGTCTTACACATGGTTACCTCTGCACCGGAGAGCTCTACTTCTCAAAGTATTTATGAAAGTATTAAAGAATACAGCAGGCTGTATGAACATGTGCTGTGTACAAAAGTCCAAAAATCTGTTGGCAACACACTTCTGTCAGTGCTGTTTGTATTGGTTGAACTCTGCTGTTATTATTGCTACTTATTGTATTGCAGATTGTTTGCTCAGAGAAGCTTGATACAGGAAACCAATTTCACGCCCACATGCTGGTGAACAAACACACTGGGAACATTAACGATTTAGCTTAAAAGTGTAGCAATATCAGCCAAACAAATAAAACCACGTTACAAAGTAGTGTATCAGCTCACTGGCCTCTGCCCCACTCTGTTAAGGACGTTTGTGCTGGGATAATTAGTTACAAACCCCACAAAAGTTGGTTGACACAACTTGTTTCACTAAATACCCAAAAGTACTTTCAGTTAAATGGAAAATTAAACAGCCAGAGCTTTTTATGTTATAATGGTAAGATATTTTTATAACCACATTTAATGTAAGTGTGGTTTTTCCATGCACAACAGGTCTATTGTCATCTCCTTCCTCTCTCCTTCTTGTTTTCTCTGTCAATGTTCCTGCTGAGCTCCTCCGTCATTTCCTCGTTTCAGAGCTTTTTGGCAGTACAACGGTTCCACCTTCGGATAAATGTTAGAGTAGGACTCAGAGTTTTCCTCAGGGAAAACTTTTGGTTTGCTTAGAAAAAGATAAACTTTTTTTTTCTTTGACAAAAAGAGTGACAAGTTGGTGTCTTTTACTGTGGCCTTACAGCAAGAATTTCCTGGGTTTGAGTAAGCCAGCCATCTGGGCTTTTCTGTGTAAAGACTGCACGTCTTCCCTCTGCCTATAGGTGTTTTCCCAGAGTTCAAAGATATGCATCAGGTTCGGTTAACTGGTGATTCTAAAATGACCACAGGTGTGAATGGTTGTTTGTTTCTATGTGCTGGTGCTGTGACAGACAGCAGTGTAGTGGAGAAAGCGGCAGGTAAAAAAAAAAATTTTTAAATATAATTTTGTTTTGAAATAAATATGATGTCCAAATGAAGTTTGTTGTTTAGAAAAATGCCCAACTTGACTTTCATTTCCATCACAGGAAACAGATTTTCAACTTGAAAATTTCAGCTACTGGATACATTTCAGAGTCAAAATTTAAGCTTTTTCTCCGCTCAAAGGGACGGAGATAGTCATTGCTTCTGTTTGTTTTTTTTGTCTGATTGTCTGTCTGTTTGTTTGCTTTTTAGCAGTCTTATGTCCACAGTTTTCAATATATCGTTTTCACATTTTATGTGATTATAGATTAAATAGCACCTGATTTAATTGTGATGAAAATCAGGTCAAGGTCACACCAAGATATACAAACTTGTCCTGAATATTTTATTGATAATGCCATCATTATGGACAATATTGCTGACGGACTTTAACAATTATTTTGTATTGATAGGAATCCTAACTCAATGTTTCTAACAGCAGTGGAGGGAAAAAACTGACATCGTAAAAAAGTGTAAATACAAAACTTCCGCTGATTGTAATGACATTCATGTGAAAATTGTCAGCAAGGTCAGAAGGGATCTGAGACTGACTAACAAACATCTGCATCTTATCATTTCAGATCAGAAAAGTTCCAAACAAAATGAAACTACCCTGAGGTGTGTACCGTCTCTACACAATGCTCCCCCGGTGCTGGATTGATAGCTGCCCACTGCTTCACTGCTGAGTGAATGGGTTAAATGCAGAGGACTAAGCAATTTCCTACGGGATTAATAAAGTATACATCATCATTATTATTATTATTATAAAAGAATAAACTGAGTACTTCTCGACAACATCCTAAAACTGTTTTCTTAAAGGGATGGAGGATTCAACTTGAGAGGGGAATTAAATTTAAAACATTCCTGTGTTTGTACAACATGTTTTTGCGTCTCTGTATGTGGAGTGAAGCTGTGAAACAGACTGAGCGAGGAACTTAAGCAATGTCCCAGCATGTCTGTTTAAAAAGCAGGAAAGAAAATATGTTTTTTGCAAAGTAAAGGTGAGGATGTGGGGCGTTGACCAGGTGCTCTCACTCACTATCTACACACCATGTGCATATACATGTATTTGTATTTATGATAAGATGCAGGAAGAAAAAAATGATGATTATTAGTACAAATAGTAGGACGGGGTGGATTAAAGCAAGCTTATGCTTCTATGCTTTTGATTACTCCGTTTTAGAGATGTTATTTATTATGATTTATCTGCTGTTTACTTTATTTTTTTTAGTGATTATGCTTTCTTTCTTTCTTTCTTTCTTTCTTTCTTTCTTTCTTTCTTTCTTTCTTTCTGTGTTGTTGTATTATTTTAACTTGTCCAAAATAAAGCAACAAAATACAAATACAAAGACAAATTTTGATTTTAACGCATAACTCCAGATGAATGCATCTGGAGTTATTTAGGGTCAACATTTGTCCCAAGGACGTGTCAACATGCAGTTGCAGAAGCTGGGGGATTAAATCAACCCACTTTCTGAACAGTAGAAGGTGAGTTGTCTGAATGTTCATCCACCATGAGCAGCAAGATTTTGGGGTGCCACAGAATTGAGTAACCAGCGAGGACTCCAAAAGGTCCATCCAGGACATGTGACTGAAACAAAGCAGTACTGCATTACTTGCAGTGCTACACTCACACACCCAGCATTGTTTAAAAAAATGTATTTAAAGTTAGGTTTTTTGTTTTTGTTGTTGTTGTGTTTTTACATTTTTAAATTAATTTCAGACTTTTAAAGTTGACTTCTACATGGTCAAACATGTATATTATGATTCTAAGATCATTTAGAAAGGAAAGAGTAGTTTATGTGAAAAGAAGCTTTGTCTTTGTCAATGCCACTGCTGAAAATGGCTACCACCTGGAGTTCAGGGCTTTATCAAAACGTGATCAGAAAAGTGTTTGTATACCAATGGTACATCTGTGAGTGATTTCCCTTTTATCTGCAGCTCTTTGTGTTTCCAGTATTTATAAATGCAACATAACACTATAGCAAGGAAGGGAACTGAAATAAAAACCACATTGTTTAGTAAGCTGTCAGCTTTTACTTTGCATTGTGGACATTTAACTCTTTTAAGTGCATTTTTTTATTCATCAGCCAGATGATCATTTAATCAAGCCTCAAGGGTTAAAACAAATTGTAAAAAAAACAAACAAACCAAACCCTTTTTGAGTACAAAAACATGAACTTAAGTACATGTCTAAATACCACTGCCTCCTAATCTACACATTATTATTAAGGGAGAAGTGCATGCTCAGTGGGCATTTGCAGGAAAGACAGCATAAACTGTAAAGAGAAAGGCTTGTTCAAAGTACTATGTGCAAAAGTATGTGAGAAGTACAAAAAATATAACCAGCGTGATCTTATCTGAACAGACAGATTATAAACAAGATAATTTTGAATGCATCTTTGTAACACCCACACAAATCTGCACAGAATATCACTGGCTTGTGTACGCCTGGTGCTGTTCCCAAGTCCAGATAAATGGAAGGGTTACAGACCAGCATCTGTTAAAAACAGTGCCAAATTAAACATGCAAAGCCACCAACTGTAGTGGTTCAGGGAGCAGCAGGAAGAAGCTTTTATCTTTAAAACAGAGACCAGAGATGTTATTGATAATGGTAATGTTTTTGTTGCTGGGGCAACAATTGACGGTTCATGCTAGATCACATGTCTATATCTACGTTCTTTTGAAATTTAAGGAATAAACAAGAAAGTGACATTATTTTATCTAGAAATGTGTGCAACATGAACAGGAACTAGTAAATACAGTCTAAGAGTCAGCAAAAAATCATCCCAAATATCGGTCATCACACAGAATCCTTTTAGAACTTTTAATCATGTTACAAAACAATAATGAACAGATGTCGTTCAAATAAAGCGAACTGTAAAGAAACTTAAACTTTCTTTGTACTTAACAGATCAGAGCAAGGTTTATCTACACCTAAACTGGAGTATAAATTCACAGATTTAAAAACACAGTATATACAAAACTTTACAGGTGATTGTTTAACATTTTTGGTAGTAAGTGTTTCTTCTGATTCAACGTTGAAAGTAGAGCTTAAATGAGAATTGTTTTATTGTTAAGCTCGTGTTTTTTTCATCATAAAAAATCGATGGCAAATTATTGACTTGTTGGTGAATGATTCATCTCGGTACTGTACCAGACTTCCTGATAAGACTTTTTGTACAAGCTCTTATCTGAAGAATAGAATGAAACCAAACTTTTACCACCAGAGTTTGCATGGATTGATTTCACAGTGAACTTGACAAAAGTTGCATAAGCAGAGTCACGGCTCAAACAAAAATAATATAGTGCATTTGGCTTTTAGAGACCACATACCATGTATTTCACAAGTGACAGGTGCTAATCATGTGACATGAAATTACCAGTGGTTACAAAAAGGATATGAACTTTCCTACATCAAACTGTTCCCAGTCAGTTAAGAGGAGTATGACTTAAACTTAAAGAGATACGACAATTGGAAAAAACACACAAAAAAGCAAACTCCTGAACAAAAAGACTTAAAAAAATAGCAACAAATCCTAGAGGGGAAAAAAACAACTGTTCCTTGTGAAATAATAATAACAGTTGATAGTTTGTCAGAACAACATTCAAGGCAGTGAAATGTTGCTCTGACAAACATCCAGTGTTTTCAGCAATTCAGTGCCAAACAGTCCTACATATCTCATCTCATTGTCTATGTGACATAAACATATTTTATAAAACAATATATTTATATAGCTTACACTTGGAAAACTTTGGAACTGTACGAGGTGATTTTTTATTTTTGATGGGATTTGCTAACAGTAAGAGTAATTGTTGCTAACTTTTGCCACATTTACACTGCTCAGACAAATTACTGAATTACATGGATCAGTGGAAAAGATCAGGTCAGCTAACCTCAGTTAGAGCCACTTAACACACACAGACACACACACGTGTATATATATATATATACTGTTCATACAGGAAGATATAAAAACTTGCCGCTATCCCCAAAACGTGATTTATTATTCCCCTTACAACCCTGACAGAACATAAGAAGAGGAAGAAATGCTGCTCCTGATTGGCTGCCAAAGGCTACAGTTTCTACATGAACTCAATAAAGTTGTATTATTTATGTATAAACATTTCCTCAACCAAACAACTCTTACAAAACATCTTGGTGATGTTCCATTTTGAGCCTTGTTTTAAAGTCCCTTGGCCTGTAACATCCCCCTCTCTTATAGTTGATCTTGGCTTGATTCAGCGAGGATGTTGGTTTAAGCTCAAGACCTGCTTGTTTAAATGCAGAGCTTATGTGAATAAAGATCTTACAGCTTGTCTGCTAAATCACAGTAATATAGGTTATTCCTGGTTACACAAAGGGAAAGTACAGAGACAGACTGCAGTTAGCAAACAAGGGAGTCTTGGCAGTAGATTATTACAGTATATTCATCTGGTACAAGGTGCCTCCTGCAGAGAGAGAGAGAGAGAGAGAGTGTTTAGACTTTTGATACTTTATGTTCTTATCCTTATCTATAAATTGATATATGCCTGCCTGTAAACACAGAAGCAAAGTCCAAGTAGAGATTTTGAGTTCTTCTTACCTCATGACTGGTCTTGATTGATTGGTTCATCTTCGTGAGAGTTATAACCTGCCAAAAGATTTAACATTAAAATCTGAATGAAATCTCACAGAGTGATAATTAAAGCTGTAATAACAAAAAGTGTTATTAGTTAAACACAGACAATTAGATTGATGTGATTTACGTACCTTCCTCAAGATCTTGTTCAGCTGCAGGAACTGCACCACGACCACCTAGAAAAAACGATGACACTGTATTAGATTTTACAGTGTTTTACAATGAATGACATGGTAGTTAATGGTAGATATAAAACCATAACCATGTTAAACAAGTTCATGCCATGCAAGCATAGAGGGAAACCCAGCAGTAAGTATGTGAAACAGACGTAATGTGACCAAAGCAAAAAAATAAATAAATAAAAAATTAAAAGGAAGGGAATGGATGCTCAGTGTAATAATGTAGTTTAATGGGACAAGTGAGAGGAAACTGATGGTTATTCAGTCCAGTAACAATATGGATGATTGTTTAATGATCAGCACATGATTCAAGTAGATTTGTGAACCTTAATCCAAAAGTTGTAGTTAAATGTTTTGTTGGAACCTTCTGTGGAGAATGTAGCCATTTTTATCTCAAAAATATTCCTTCAAATATTTCAAATATTTACAGCTGAAATAACAATGTGCAATAATAATGTCTAATAATAATATCCAAACTATCAAAATGACCAAAAGATTTAGAAAACTTAGTTCTATAGACAAATAAACTTAAAAAAAAAAAAAAAACCAGCAAACAGCGCTTTTTAATATTTCAGCAGTTCTCAGATTCAGGTAGATTAAAAAGTCGATAGAAGGATAAATAGAACCTCTCCAAATCTCTACAGACACAGCAAGTGTTCATCCTTTATAGCAAGTTAGAAAGGAGAAACACAAGAGCAGTAATAATATGTCCAAAAATGGACGTACTCATAAGGGGTGCTGTAGAGTTCCTCCGAGTCTCTGTCAAAAAAATGTCACAGAAGTGAGTTCTCCATGCTGATAACTTTCACTGTATTTCATCTATTTGAAGACTGCTGTTTGAACTTGTTCAGTTTTTAAAAGGCGCATTTAACCCAGCACAACAATGATGGGAGTGTATTTTCCATCCTGAATTACATGGCCTCGAGTCAGGTGTTACAGGTTTTACCACTTCACTTTAGCATCAAACTGCATGGTTTTTCCTTTCAGCTTGTATTGCTTACAGGAAGCAGGTGATGAACTCTCACACTACATTTAAGAATGCTGGAGCACAAATATCGCAGTAAAAACTTCAATTAGTTTCTAGTCAAACTAATGTAAAGCACATCCGTAATTGCATAAGAGCTCTACATGGCACATGCAGGCACATGGTCTGCATCTCAGTCAGGGAGGGATTTCCTTTTGCTTAGTATTTTACTGATGGAGCATAAAACAATAATTCTCGATATTTAAATGCAATTCTCCATATCATATTTTTAATTAATTACAAAAGCCTTAAAAAGAAACAGTTCATTGGTTAATTTTAACAAAAAAACAAAAAAGAAAAATATTACTTACGTTGAGATCGTCTTCTGTACAACAACAGCAACAGCAACCCTACGATCAGTGAGCCGATGACCACCAAAGGAGCAACTATTTTAGAGGTCTCAGGTGACGGTTTGGTCGGATCTGAATCTGAACAAATGAAAGGTTTGAAGAAAAAAAATGAAGTGAGTTAATCTTTAAAATGAATAAACATACAGTACAGTATATGATGTTACAATCATTGATTCTTACATTCACTATCTTGTTAACAGACACAGGAGTCAGTACAAATTGAACATTTGCTTCGTATTAAAACACTAAACTTGCAGAAGCAGAGAGTAAACAAGAACAACATGGAGGGTAATATTTGCATTACTACTGCAACATAGATAATGATCCGAGTGGCTATATAGTTTCCAAGGAAACCTGTTGATAACTTTACATTTTCAAATCATCAAATCATCATCTTGAAGTTACATTGGGGGGCAGGGATAGCTCAGTAGGTAGAGTGGTGGCCCCATGATTGGGAGGTCGGGAGTTCTAATCCACTGAACAGCTACTCTGAGGTACTCCTAAGCAAGATACCATCCTACACACTGCTCCTAGGGCGCCCAATGGCTGCCCACTGCTTCACTGAATGAATGGGTTAAATGCAGAGAGGAATTTCCCCACAGGGATCAATAAAGTATAAATTATTATTATTTCCACTGTTTTAAGTTTTGAACGTTTTAGTAAGAAATGTATTGCAAACTGTTTATTACTGAAGAGTGTATTAAAAGACCTACAGCACAGACAGTCTTTCATTTTTGTTATAGATAAAACATAAATACTTAATTTATCCATTAAATCATCTAAATATAAATCAAAACTCTATTTGTGCTAATTACTCTGTGGAGCTTCTTTTTTCTCATGGTTCGACATTTACAACATGTTTTTTAAATATGTAAACATCTCCTACACACTTTCTAAATCAGCCCCCACAAAAAATCTCAAAATGCACACAAACAATAAAATGTTTAACTGTGGCACTGGATGAAGGCATATTTATGTAACTCAGACATCTTTGGGTTTTGTTTTTGTTTGTTTTTTTCAAATTTAAAGTACAGCATGCTCTTGGATTACACTTTGGCTGAAATTACTGAACAGTACGGTGAGCAGTAGGATAGTGCCAGCAGGCCTAACAAGAAACATGTGGAACATAATGGTGTGTAATAAAACATACCTTTAATTTTGTCATGTATGTTGGTTTCAAATGTGATACTATCCTCTTTCCCTCCACTGGCATTGAACACAGCGCAGGTATATATCGGGAAAGTGGATCCTCTAAACAAAGACAGTCTGCTTGTGAGTTGAAACAAACCATCGTCTGATGGTTTTGTCTCCATTTCAGAGCTTCCTGTCCAGTCAGTACCCTCTTCATCAAACCAGCGAAGTGTTCCCTTTGGGTAGCCTCCACGAGACTCACAGATTAGGGTACTCTCTGAATTTGGGACAATTTTCTCAGGGGTGGAGTGTACACTCGGGATACGATATCTGGCTGTAGAGACAAAATGGAAAGCACAATCACTGAGCTGAACATTGTGCCTTGGTGTCAAATAAAATGACTTCAATAAAGTATCTTAAGATGTGATAGTAATAACAGTTCACATGCAATAAAAAGCTAAACAAACTAAAGTCAAACAGTACAAGTTATTTAAGTAAATGGCTGCAAGTACTTGTACAACTGGTATTTCTAGATGTCTTTGCTGTCACAATGAAACTGAAAGTAAGCAGACAAGCCTAGAGTTGCTCAAGGGGAATACCAATCTGATTGGCCTGGAAAGTCCCCAAATCTCTAGACAATCTTCATTGCTCACAAGGTGTTTAAAAAATGTAAAAACATCCTTGATTTAAAAATATAAAAATGTTTCAGTGTTACCTTGGACTTTAAGCGTAGTGACTATGTTGTGATCACCACTGTCTGTGATCACTATGCACTTGTAATCTCCATCGTCTGCCACTGCAGTGTTGGTGATGAGCAGAGATACATTCATGTTCTTCTCGTTCCATGATGGTTCAGCAAACCTGTAGCCTCGCTTTGGCCGGTCCAATTTCCCTCTATTAAAACCCAACAGGAGATCACCTTCGTCTTCTGGAGAAGTCAGTTTTTTCCAAGCAACCATACGAATATTTGGATCAGTTACATCTGATGATGTTTTGACGACACACTCCAGCAGTGACTGTTGGCCATAGTGTCCCACATTTTCAGCTTTGCATTCCACTTTTATAAATCCTGTAGAAAAGAAAGCAAAATTAGATTTGAGGTCACATGAACACCAAACACCATTCCATGCTTAAAGTTCTCTATGAACAAACTTACCACTCTTAACTGCACAGATGCAGAGGACAGGGAAAATGAATACAATGATTCCACTGGAGGCCATGTTTCTTTACCTGAAAAGACAGTTAAAATTGACAGTTATTATGTGGCGATCAGTGTATACCTGTTTTATGTCACAGGGATCTGCTTCTATGAATCAAACGGTGAGATGCAAAACACATTTAAGTGTAACAAAGTCCTGAGAAGATGCAGCCCATCAGGTTGGGGTGGTGCGTGTGTGTGTTCATTATCCTACTCAGCAAAAGTATTTCTGGGGGAAATTCCTGCACAAAAACAGGAGTATGCAATTTTTACAAGCGAAAAAAATTTTTATGTTAATGTTTCTCTCCTGCCTATGTAATATTATTGTTCATTTAGAGAATGATGACTGAACTTAACGGTAGAGAAATGCATAGCACTGAACAAGGGAAAAGCAGTCTGTAGGGCCCAGAGTCTGCTTGTTTGAAGGCATTCATTTTCACTGGTATGTTACTAAATAAGTTTTGTTAGTGGGCAAAAGACAGAAGGACTGGTCTTTAAAACTATATAAAGTTTTTGTGCCCACTCAGTATGATTGCTCATGCTTGGTTTCTTTCTTTATGCCACATGTATCACATGTGTTTTCACTTTTGTTCAAGGGAGCCACACTCTACGCTGGCTGTGAGAATGAAAAAGAAAAGGTCACCAGAGGTTATGCAAATGCAGCGACAGGAGGTGGACGTGTCCACAGTTTTATCATGACTGGGAAGATGGGCCTAGCTTAGTGTTTACATTGGCGTAATGGAGTTAAATTCATTTTATTACCAAGCTGTTACTCATCAATCCAAAAAATCTGACACTTTGTAAAAAGGAGTTTCTGCAAAATGAGCTCATTTGTCAGGTTTTCTTTTATATTAAACACTCGTAGCTCATTAAAACTTTAAGCTACCCAGATTAAAACAAAATAAAAAAATTATGTACATGTTACATATACATTTATGTGTTTTTGAAAAGAAAGTTAGATTGGTATGTCATCTTAATTTAAAAACAGAAAACTAAACTTTCCTTCCAGCATAGGATATTAGCACACGTTTATTTATTTATTTTTATATATAAATGGCTTCATGGGAACCAGGATTTACTGAAAAATAGGCTCAGTGCTGTAGAATGACCACTCGATAGCTTTCTTGTGATGCTGCTTTATTGAGCGTATATCCAGCATGGGTTATTACAGCACAACAACGGGTGTAGAACTGCCACGGACAGCCCTGCCGCAAAGCCTGTCAGGGTGGCGTAAAGCCGCAATGCCCACCCGCTCAACACAGGCAACACAGTATATGACAAGTGCCACATGTTTTTGTAACTAAACATTGCAATTTTGTAGACAAAAACAACTTGTTGTTTTTCTACAGACTTTCAGTGTTGTGCACCATGCTCCTGATATTTATATTGCATGACTTATACCAGGCAAATTTCTAGTATCAAAAACTTCTCTTATATTGACCCTTTAAAAAAAAAAAAAAAAATAGGATGCTGTTGATCTTGGATTTAACATCCATTTCTGACACTGGATGAGAGATGGGCAGACCCTGGACAGGTCACCAATCTATTGCAGGGCTAATCAAACATACATGACTTTGGATTGTTGGAGGAAGCTGGAGTACCCGGAGAGAACCGGCACAAGCATAGAAAACATGCAAATCTACAGAGAAAGGATCCAGTCAGCTGATGGATTCAAACTTGTAACCCTTGTGCCAACTATTGTGCCATTTCATCTTCCTCTTTCAAATATGGAATTAAATGGTTTGCAAATTTAATTCTGATATAATGCCCAATTATTTATTTTCTGCGGCCCGTTCAGTGGGTTGCATTTTTTAATGGGTCTATAAATGAGGAGTCATACTGAAAGAGAAAGTGTCCAGTTAGTTTTTCTTTTTATTTCAGCTGAAACTGTGCCACATATTATGACCACTGCAACTAAAAGAGCAAAAGAATATAAATCAATGTGTCATTTTCTCTGGTTTTCTTCCCTCCAAAGTGTTATAGTGTCATGGATCGCAAGTTACAGAGGAGTCAGCTCAGCTGCCGTCTCTGCTCCTTGGGTTGCCTGTGTTTTTGTTTGGGTTCTGTTTTTCCTGTATGCATGATTAATCTACTTCATCTATACACTTCACAAAATTTAAATGCAACGCATTACAGTTTTGTACAGAAATGCTTTTTTAATTCTGAAAGCAGTTATGGCTGTGCGGCAGAGTAACAATTTCTTGAGTGCAGCTGGGAGACATCTGCAGGCTCCAGATGAGCATTAATTAACTTCTCCACATCCTGTTCATGCAACTGAGACAACAGGTCAAAATGAAGTTTGCAAAATGTCACGAAGCCCGAGGTCACAGAATGCAGGATACAGAAATATTGATATGATCCTGATGTGTGCGCTTATTTTCTTTCCCTTCCTTCGGACGATACTGCCCTGAGAGTCTGGCCCGTTTGTACGATATCTGTATTGACACTGCTGTGTCAGTCTATTATTCAGGCCCCTCACGTTGCCAGTTGTTTCCGTTCTTTTTGGCTTGTTTTGCCTCTTGTAGCTAGATAAGTTACAGAACAGACCAAGAGAAATTGTGGGGGGTGAGAGCAGGGAGATGACATGAAGAAAGGCAACAGGCAACAACAAATGATCAAGACAACGTTTTTGGATTTCATTCAACTATTTTTTCCATGGACCTGTGACCGAGACAACACGTCCACACACTAATGTTAGCCCAATGTTTGTGTCAACTGTCAACCCACAACCTCGTTCTGCAGCTGGCGGGCAGCTTCTCTCTCACAGACATATATGTACTTAGACTTATATTTAGCGCACAGGTATAGTCTAACTCTCACTCCAGGTCAGCACATTATGACTCTGTCTCACTTATTTACTGCCGTCACAGTTTCATGATTCATGCTCACAGCACAAAAAGAAGCATTTCTCTTACATGAATAATGAGAGGCGCGTTTAGTGGTTTATAGGCGCTGATTAAACGGGACTGCAGCTTCTGGCTCAAAACCGCACTGCAGTTTTTTGAACAACACACACACACACACACACACACACACACACACACACACACACACACACACACACACACACACAGTCAAAACAGACCACACTGTTCTCTGGCTGTTCACAGGCTGTACACTAACTAAGTTTGATCCACAACAAAAACTCCTAATGCACAGACAGAAGCACTATCGTGGGACAGACGCCAGTTTGTTTGCATAGAGAATTTGAATGTAACCTGAGAACAGCGACAACAAACCAGCGAATAATCCTTCCAAAGTGGAACTTTGAACTTGAACTTTGAACACGTTACCTGTACATATTCTCTCTCTCTCTCTCTCTCTCTCTCTCTCTCTCTCTCTCTCTCTCTCTCTCACACACACACACACACACACACACACACACACACACATATAATATGTATATGTGTCCACATTCACAGGACAGGGTCACGGACATAAGTCACGGTGAACAAACTGTTGCTGGTGTCGCTGTTCTCAGAAAGAACAGGTCACGCGCACACACCACACACCATATACGAAACCAACAAAACAGCTTTATAATTTATATGTATATTATATTACAATTATAAGGAGATTTTCAAGCAAGAGTTTATCACAAGACCTCCGGGTCAGAGTCAGAGACAAGCAGCCTACAGTCCTCAGCTCTTGAATGGCTTTTGAACGCGGATAACTCGGTCGGCCGCGTTTCTCCACGTCGACTAAGCGTAATACACAAACCCGTAGGTTTCGGTTGCCTGCATCTGTTATACACCGAGGAGACATATAAGTCGTAAAGGCCGCACTAATATAAATGACCGCAAATGGTCGATCAAGTTCAACTTACATTACACGCTCCTCTTCACCGGAGATGTGATGCCTGGACTGGGTTGTACAGTCTTAACTGGCTTTTTAACTTTCACTTTCATTCTGAGTCAGAAAAAAAGGACAACCCACTGGCTTTCCGTCGCCTCTTGTTTTACAAGGAGCAGACATTTGCTTTGCTAAATAAAGAATTCTAATGTATTGTCAGCAACGTTAACAAGAGGCATTAGCACTGGATGAGCTTCAATCCACAGAAAAATGTTCGAATTTGGGCATTTTAGCAAAATGAAAGCTTTTTCATTCATCTTTTTTGTACAGGCCTAGATGAAAAGGATAATTACAGAACACTTTTTATTTAGAGTATAGCATCAAGTTAGTTAAATATCTGAGATATTGTTCTGGTCAGTTAATGAAATTACATTATCTTACAGAAGTGAGTACAGCCTTTACATTTTTTGAGTAACTTTGAGGTCACCTTAAAATACCTCAACATACAGCCATTGTCTAAACTGCTGGCAACAAAAGTGAATACACCCTTAAGTTAAAATGTCCAAACTGTGCCCAAAGTGTCAATATTTTGTGTGGCCACCATTCTTTTCCAACACTGCCTTAACTTTGTTGGGCATGGAGTTCACTAGAGCGTCACAAGGTGCCACTGGAATCCTCTTCCACTCCTTCATGATGGCATCATTGTGCAGGTGGATGTTAGAGACCTTGCGCTCCTCCATCTTCCATTTGAGGATGCCCCATAGATGCTCAATAGGCTTTAAGTGTGGAGACACACCCCTGATACCATCTGAACCAAATAAGTTTATCTTGGTCTCATCAGACCACAGGTAATCCATGTCCTTGTTTTCAGCAAACTGCGGACTGTCTTGTGCATTATCTTTAGAAGAGGCTTCCTTCTGGGATGACAGCCATGTGATGCAGTTTGCAGCGCATGGTCTGAGCACTGACAGGTTGACCCTCCACACCTCTGCAGCAATGCTGGCAGCATTCATACATCTATTTTCAAAAGACTACCTCTGGATATGGTGCTGAGCACGTGCACTCAACTTCTTTGGTCGACCATGGCGAGGTTTGTTCTGAGTGGAACGTGTCCTGTTAAACTGCTGTATGGTCTTGGCCACCATGCTGCAGCTCAGTTTCAGGGTTCAGATTTAACACACCTGTTCCCCATTTGCACCTGAGACCTTGTAACACTAGTGAGCCACACGACAGCAGGGAGGGAAAATGGCTAATTGGGCACAATTTGGACATTTTCATTTAAGGGTGTACACACTTTTGTTACCAGGGTTTTAGGCAATAATGGCTGTAAGTTGAGTTATTTTAAGGTGACATCAAATTTACAGTGTTATACAAACTGTAAACTGACTACTTTACATTGTATCAAAGTGTCATATCTTCAATGTTATCCCATGAAAAGATATAATAAAATATTTACAAAAATGTGAGGGGTGTACTCACTTTTGTGAGATACTGTATCAACAGGCACACTAGAGGGGCAACAATCTGACAAGGCCCAAGACATGAATGGTTTTACAGATGGAGGACTGACATTTTTTTTCTCAAGAGCATAGAGAAAGTCCAAGAAAGGCAGAACACCTCTGTGGCACGATGGCTTGGTTCATCCATCGCCAACAGGTTGGACCTCAGTGATACAGGTCCAGATCTAGAGGATCCTCCTGGGCATCCGTAGTCTTTTTGAGAATTTCCCCTCCTGTTGTCAGCAGGGCTGACCTGGGACAAAAATTCTCCTGCACTGACAGACATGCATACAATAATTTAAATACACTTGTCAGCCGCATCATTTTTTCCACTTTGATTTTCGAGGTGTCTTTGCATTCAGCCCTCTGTAGGCTGATAATTTCCGTTTCCATGATATGGCATCCTTTCGTTTATAACACACTACCCAGTCCATAACATTACATTGAAATCTGATGTGCTATCAGAGTTTTCGTTTAGTTTCTTGTAACTTAAAGACCACATGTGGTGCCTGGTACTTTTTTGGCATTTCTAAAGGCTTTTATTCAATGCAGTCTGTTCAGCACGTGGTCAGAGTCACGTAAAAATAAGAATGCAACACATCAGACAGTTTTCTACTTCTTTCAGTCAGGTTTGTTAAGTGGGATTGTTTTATATTTGTGTAACCACTGATTGCTACAACCATGAAAAGTTTAAAAGTCCTTGAGCATTCACAAGATTATCAGAAAAGTTGACCTCAGACCTTAAGGTCAAGATCACTGAGATTCAAATTAATCCAAGATATTAAGAAGATGCAGCTATGGTATCAATTCCAAAACCCTAAGTGATTTTCTTCTTGAGTCATCTCATTCACAAGATTTTGAGAAAACCTGACCTCTGACCTTGAGGTCAAGGTTACTGAGCTTCCAACTTGACCCCGATTTTTAGTAGAAACACCAATCCTACATCTCCTCGTTCTCACATCCACAAACTTTGGTCGCCCACCTAGTTGACCATACCTCATCAGCCTTTTATAGCTGAGGGGTAAAACACAAATACTGAGTCATAGCTCAAGAAGGTTTAACTGTTCAAATAATATTTTATTTTATTAATCAGGCAAAGTAGTGGCTGCAAAGTCCCCCCCCCCCCAAGTAAAATGAACTAACAGCCACTACAAATATACAAACACACCCGATGGTCAAAACTGATTTAATGTCAATGTCCACTTGTGCCATTTATTGATTTTAAATTTCAGCAGTGACTTACATCCAGCAACAGGAAATGGTATGATGCAAGCGCTGCATCATAATAAACATAAGAGAAAGACACAACACTAAACGATGCAAACTTAAAATGCAGATTTTCTTGCGTGACAGCTTGCTGCCATGCAGGTGACTCAAGAGGACAGAAGCAAGTAGAAGAATTTTGGTTGGAATAATGCCACGTGAAAGTTACAGAAAGATTGTTCTAAATTTCCAGTGAGCAAGAATACCAACTAATGTATAAAAGGGGGAGAGCAGTGAAAAGAAGGCTGGGTTGTCATAAGGTCACTTGTCAAATCTAGGATGGGTTTACCAGGAACACAGCTGTCGGGACTATAAACAGTCCATGGATTTTCAATGCAAATGCAATGGAAAAAACGCCCATCTGTGATACTGGTAGGATGCAATTAAGAAACCCAACCTTGTTTGATGCTGTAGCCTAACACACAAACAGGCGCACTTTAGAGTAAAATTTGGAGTAAATTTTACCTATAAAAACACGGGGCACTTAAAACCGGCACTGGGGTTACAATAATCTAATGCTCGAGACAGTAGCAAAAACGGCTTGTTCCAACTTTCTTTTGTTTTTTTTGTTTAGTTTTTTTATTTTACCTGGCATGTGACCCTACAGTACTCAACTGAAGACAAATGTCTGCATTTTCCAGATCATAATGACAGTAATTTATGAGAATCCTGTGGATAATAATACTATAATCAGTAGAAAGAGTCCAACTTCATGCAACAACAAGAACAAGAATTGTTTCACAACAAAAAAAAGAAAAAGTATTTAACAGATTAAACGGAAGAAAATTCACAGTTATGTTTCTTCTCACATTCATACGTTAAAGACTGGACATGCATGCAAGATTGGGTCAAAGATCAACACGGAGCAAAAGCTTTTTTTCCTTTGCTTGTGTTCTACAAAATGCTTCTCTATTCATTCACAGCTTGTGCTGTTGCATTAAAGTTAGGGGAGATTTATCATTTGGCTGATGTGAGAAATGTGAGCCTTGTACCCTACCTGGCAGGTCAAATGCATTTCAGAGGTAAAGGCAGACTTTGAACCGTATACATAGAAATACATAAAGTGCTTCTGTCAAAATAAACAAACAATAAAAACAGTACAAAACGGTTTTCAAAAAAGAGGTATCAAAACAATGCACTTGGGGGTGTGGAGGAGACTGGTGTCTGCTGGACATCAGAGGATTCCTGCAGGACAGACAAATGAGCTGGGGATTCTTGCTTTAAATAAAAAAGATGTTCGAAGATGAATGGAGGTAAGGAGGGGTAGTCGAGTGGCTTTCAACCAAGGATCAGGCTGGACTTGCCCCCCGGGGGGTTTCGGCGGCCAGATGGTAGTCCTGCACAGGGTTCCTCAGCCTGGGGGGCCTCATCTTGCTGCTCTCGAACTGCTTCAGGCTCAGCAGCGTTGTTTTCTGAGCATCAAAAGACAGTTTACAAAATAAATAAGGAAATGTTCCCTTATGACTTCTACTTGAAAGCACAGTCTGTGTGTCAAGTTTGTCGTGTTCACTCTCTAAACAAACTATGAATGCCATTGGATGTGGGTGTTTCCTGTTGTTTTCAGTTTACTCTCCATTTCAACTCAACTGCAGATAACAATAATTTGCTTCTCCTGCCCTGTTTTCAAATGAACACTAAGCTTGAAAGTTAGTTTGCTTTGCACATATTTAGTTTCCCCTGGTAAACTGGTTCTACAACTCTAAATTCAAGCAGACCATTAAACCTTATGTATAGTTAACTCAGGGAGGCAGACTGGGGGAGTCAGGGGGAATAATAATATTACCATGTCAGTGTTTCTTTTCCTCTCCTTTCTGTGTATGTGTTGTAAGCATTATATTAAAACTGACTTGTATAAATGTGCCAACAGTTGGGGTGCAGGGAGGGTTCGAACTAAAATAACAATGATGTGATCAAGAAACATGCTCTTACCATTTTCACGTACAGAGATATCTCCATCCTAATCGAGATAAGCAGAAAAGAAAGGATGAATGTTTGACAACTTCATAAAGGAACTTTGTACAACTGTTTTGATGGAAAAACGCACATTCACAGCGCAGTTCAACAGCACTAGTTACAACCCAAGTGTCATTTGGTAATTTCTCAAAAGGAAGAAGAGGAAAACATTGATACTTTAAATAGTTTGGACTTAAGCTGTTTCTTGGTGTTTGTTTGGCCTTAAGTTTCACTTCCTTTCTCTGTGCATCTCATGATCTGAGCCTTTGTCTTACTGTGGTGGGCGTGTCCCCCAAGTGACTGGTAGTATGATTTCCTCCTCTCCTCAGGGGGGCCGATGGCTCTCCACACAGCACACCTGTTGGTTTCCCGCCTAGAAGAGGAATGAAATATTGGGAATAACAAGAAAGACAATCCCAATTTAAATAAACACGTAT